CATTTCTAAAAGTTTTCAACAGTTAAATCGAGAATTTTAACCATTTCTAAAATTTTTCAATAGCTAAATCGAGATTTTTAACCATTTCTAAAATTGTTCAACAGTTAAATCGAGATTTTTAATTACCTCTAAAATTTTTTAATAGCTAAATCGAGATTTTAACTACTTCTAAAATTTTTCAATAGTTAAATCGAGATTTTTGACTATCTTGTGTTTAGTTAGCTTAAAAACACGTTTCTGATGTTTAAACCAACTTTGTATGACAAAGTTAAATTTCCGAAGAGAAACCAGCTGAAAAATAAATTTGCAGAAAACTTCCTAAATTACAACAGAAACGACGATTTTGAGCTGAAAAGATACTTAGCGCGTTTAGTTGGCGAGAAAAACACGTTTGTGATGTTTAGACCAACTTTGTATGACAAAGTTAAATTTCCGAAGAGAAACCAGCTGAAAATAAAATTTGCACAAAACTTCCTAAATTCCAACAAAAACGAAGATTTTAAGCTGAAAAGATACATGCCGCGTTAAGTTAGCGAGAAAAACACGATTGTGATGTTTAGACCAACTTTGTACTTTAGCGAGAAAAACACGTTTGTGATGTTAAGACCAACTTTGTATGACAAAGTTAAATTTCCGAAGAGAAACCAGCTGAAAAATCAATTTGCACAAAACTTCCTAAATTTCAACAAAAACGACGATTTTGAGCCGAAAAGACACTTAGCACGTTTAGTTAGCGAGAGAAACACGTTTGTGATGTTTAGATCAACTTTGTATGACAAAGTTAAATTTCCAACGAGAAACCAGCTGAAAATTAAATTTGCACAAAACTTTCTAAATACCAACAAACACGAGGATTTTGAGCTGAAAAGATACTTAGCGCGTTTAGTTAGCAAGAAAAACACGATTGTGATGTTTAGACCAACCCTGTAGTTAACGAGAAAAACACTTTTGTGAAGATTTTTAATTATCTCTAAAATTTTTTAATAGTTAATTCGAGATTCTTAACTATCGCTAAAATTTTTCAATAGCTAAATCGAGGTTTTCAGTTACTTTTAAAATTTTTCAATAGCTAAATCGAGTTTTTAAATATCTCTAAAATTTTTCAATAGCTAAATCGAGATTTTTAACCATTTGTAAAGTTTTTCAATAGTTAAATCGAGATTCTTAACTATCTCTAAAATTTTTCAATAGCTAAATCGTGATTTTTAATTATCTCTAAAATTTTGTAATAGTTAATTCGAGATTCCTAACTATCTCTAAAATTTTTCAATAGCTAAATCGAGATTTTCAACTACTAAAATTTTTCAATAGTTAAATCGAGATTTTTAACTATCTCTAAAATTTTTCAATAGCTAAATCGAGATTTTCAGTGACTTTTAAAATTTTTCAATAGTTAGAATCGAGATTTCAACAATCTCTAAAATTTCTCAGTAGCTAAATCGAGATTTTTAACCATTTCTAAAATTTTTCAATAGCTAAATCGAAATTTTTAACCATTTCTAAAAGTTTTCAACAGTTAAATCGAGAATTTTAACCATTTCTAAAATTTTTCAATAGCTAAATCGAGATTTTTAACCATTTCTAAAATT